GTTGTACGATGAGCATTCGTTTCTCATTCGTTGGGCATTCGTCTTTCACACAAAAATGTTATTTTTTTGCCAAAAAAATTGAGCCTATTTGAGCGTATCGGGACTTAGGAAAAAAATGAGAACGCTCGGCATACGTTAGGTCTATTCGTTACTATGTGACAGGGCCTTTACAAACAGTAGAAGAAAAGTGACAGTAGAAAGATGATAAAAGTTCCTTAATAAGTCGAAAACTGTAATTTGATAAAAATGGGTCATTAAATAAAATTCCCTGAATTCTACCAGCAATACCACTTTGGGAATCACCACCCTTTTCGCATTCATTCTTACAAAAGTTAGAGTATCTCTTGTCAAAAATCACATTGCTGAAGGAAAAACCTTATGAGCACATGAGGATTTTATCCTATCAATGAGTGTATTCTTGTATGCCAAGTTATTCCGATTTATAAGGCGAGCTTAGAATTGCCCAGAAATAGACAAGTTATTTAAAATCTGAAAAAGCATGTCAAGCTCCATAGTATTGATCAGATATCCTATCTTTGGGACACCAAGTGTCATTAGGAAACTTGATGATCTACAATATTTTGGAAGACCCCAACGCAATTTTAACAGTTTATTTTAAAACTTGTCTAACTCCCTACGTAATGTCTTAGAGACCATAGGAAAGAATTGGCTACAGGTTAATATTCCAGACAAAATGAGATTTTATCAAAACTTTATTTAATCTCAAAATTTACAGCATGATATAAATTAACAACAGTAGAAGTACCGTTATTTCATAAGCCCACGCCCTGTAAGGATTAAAATGCACGCTAACATTTCTGGATTCTATTTTCCACATGTAAATCTGGTTTAAGACTACTCTTAGAAAGATCAACGCCAAAGTAGGTTATTGACTCCAAAATGTTAAGAGTGAAATTATTCAAATATTAGCAGGGTGTGGGTGTAAGACACTGTTTACCAAAGATGATACAATCAGTTTTAGTTTGATTAAGATCGTGATTTCTGATATACTTATTTGCATAACTGATGAGTATTTGGGGCCCAATGACAGTATACTGTAGTACTAATTATCAATATATCACCTGCATAACAAAATGCATTAAGTGACATTTTTGAAATTTTCACACCACATTCTATTTCGGATAGACATTTGATCATATCTTTATAAAACAAATTGAAAATAAGAGGTGAGGATAATCCTACCTGATGTGTAACTTTATGAACATTTTAATCTTTTCACTAAGAACACGTTATATTTTCATTGCGGATTTTTTGGGCTCAGTACGGACTCTAAACGTATGCATTTTCTTTTAGTTTTAAGGCGTATGCGGATTTTATAAGTCCGCAATGACGATAGAACGTGTTTAAGATTTTTGAATTCAGGGAATGCTTTAGATGCTCAACAGTCACTACGTCTGGTTCCAGTGCTGAGGTTGAATTAAGACAATTAATATTAACTGAACGATTGTGTCAGCATTTGACAGCATATTGGCATATATTTAATGGACAGCATGGAATTTGATCCCCCAACATCTAACTGACTGTCCACTTTGGATTGTAAATGTCTTACACCATTTTCTATTCTGGCATGTCTGAATTAACAGCTTGTTTTGACCACTAAATAATTGAACACAAAATATTGTCACTTCTAATACTCTACTTAAGCCTATGTTGAAAAGTCAAGATAACACTGTATATCAAACTTAATGAGCATACCATGGGGTATGTACTTTGAATTGTTGTCATATATGTTGTACAATAATGCATTAATTTATTTAACCTGATTAAGTCAGCGCTTTGTGCTATGCATCAATCGATCTGGATAAGTACAAACAAACATAGAAGTAAAATCTGATGGTCTTAAAATGAATGGAAGAAATGCTCAGTGCATGCGATCGCCGTGATCATGATATATGAGGATGTGAGAGCAGTGTTTAAACCTATAAGCTACGAGTGACCTAATGCCGCTTGTGATCGAAAATGTAGAATGAGAACGAATTCCTTCATTCGTGACTAGCATCGTATGCGATTTTCTACAATGTGTATGCATAGATATAACCAACGCAAAGGCTGATGCACTTAATCTTGGTTAAAAGTTTAATAGAGTACAGTCCTTGTTAAGGCCTTAATGTAGATTTGGGGACAATTGTTCTAGATTTCAGGCAAAAACTGAAGGCACAACTCTGAAACATGCATAATTGATCTAATATGACGTCATACCGTTCTATGTTTGAAATCACCCCAAATAGAAAACTACATAATGATGGGGTGAGATGCAAAATCATGACATTTAGTACGGCATAAGCGGCAGTGACAGTCTTTACGCTGTGTTGCAGAACATGCGATCACCATGGTCATAAAATGGCAAACAATTTTCAATCTTATCGCTTTCCTCATCAATAGCATTATAAAATAACTGATGTTTTGTAGCAAATAACATGGGAATTGATGTTTATGTTGTTATGTCACAATGTGAGACCATTGTGAGACCATTTAAATCCAAACCAATTGCTCACTATAGCAATTATTCAAAAGCAGGAATGAATTACCACACAAATTAAAAAGTTATTTTAAAGAGATGTCAACTTTTTCATCCCAAAATCATTTAAAATAATGTTTTAAAATTTTATTTTATTTTCTAAATTTTTGTTTTGTTTTGTTTATTATACTCTATATATGTTTTTCATCACTGTACCACTCAGTAGTAACTGAAAGTATCTCCATTATAAAGAAAGATTAAATAAATAAAATAAATACTGTACATAGCTATGCCATAGTTTCTTTCTAATATTGTATTAAATCCTAATAATTTAAAAAAAAAAAAAAAAAAAAAAAAAAATAACAGCATATATTAGTTATATATAATTTAGGCAAAAAAGCTTTGGTAGCATTAAATTTCATGACTAAATCTAAAAATTGCAGACAAAATCAACCAAGAACATCACAGCAGCATTGCAACTGTAAGGCCCGCTGGTATATAATTCACATACTTTGATGCATGATGAGTATGTAAACGTCTGTATTTTATAGAGGGTTATTTAAGTCTAGTAGTGTCATGCACGCAATGACCATGTCAAAATTGAAGACAATGAGAGTGGGCATGCAGTGTCGTCTGCATTTTATAGAGCATTACTATTTAAGTCTAGTAGTTTCAGGCACGCAATGACTATGCCGAAATTGAAGTAATATAAAAAATATGCATAGCTTATCACCTGCATTTTATAGAGCATTACTATTTAAGTCTAGTAGTTTCACGCACGCAAAGACTATGCCGAAATTGAAGTAATATAAAAAATATGCATAGCTTATCACCTGCATTTTATAGAGCATTACTATTTAAGTCTAGTAGTTTCACGCACGCAATGACTATGCCGAAATTGAAGTAATATAAAAAATATGCATAGCTTATCACCTGCATTTTATAGAGCACTACTATTTAAGTCTAGTAGTTTCACACACGCAATGACTATGTCAAAGGTAAGTCTATATAAACAGACAAATATAGAGCTTATCGTCTGCGTTTTATGGTGCGTCTGAACTGTTCTTGATTTTTAAGGTATATGTTAACAGAATACTGCAATTATTACTTGCATCAGAGTTAATTAATTTGTTTGATTATATACTTCCTAGCATCGCCTATAATTTATTGCGCACATAAAAACCTGAGACTGCACATCTTTCATTATCAGGCTGATTAAAAAACTAGCATGAAAGTTCTGAAAAGATCATTATACAATAGGAATTGATAACATCACTTGCTCTTGGAGGCAAATTCATGAAAATCTAGGTTACGAGCATCTTTCAATCGTGTATTAACGTTTTCAATCAACACTTTTCAATCTCAAGCAACGTGGTAGTTGCTTTGTTGTGGGTTAATAACCGATTAGTACCGTATAATTATTTGACCTATTTAATTAATGTTATTCTTTCACTTTGTCTTATTCACTGATTGATTTGCTAACTGATTGTCTATCATTTACTGATTGACTTATATTCACTGACGACTTATCACTGATTGACTTACTTACCGATTAAATTATTTACTAATTGACTTATATATACCAAATGACTTACATTCACTGAACGACTTATTCAAATACTTCTAAGCCTCCTGAAACTCTCACTCTTGTTTCATAAGTATAACATGTTATTAGGCAACTCTGAGATTCTCTTTGGCCGGTAACATCAACTCTAAAAATAGTGTAGCCTCTCCAACCAACTAATTAGGAACTAGGAGATCTAGAGCTTCATTTTAGATACTGGAATTAAGGTTTCTTATTGACATATGACTATTAATTTGCCTTTAACTATTGAGTAGTAAACATAAGAGTGTGTTATTATGTAAGCAGGAGTAAATTTTCTAAATGAAGGGTCTCCAAGTGAGGGGTGCTCTGTAAATCTGCAGTAAAAAGTCTGTAAAAACAAAGACTGAATTCTTTTGTTTCACATTTTTTGGAAGTTGAATTATTATATTATATCAGCTTTAATTTAGTGTTTGAAGTTTTTTTCCACACTTTACCAGGCAATGGTTTATTTGTTTAAAAAAAAATTGAAATAATGTATCAGTTTAATAAAAGCACCAGCTAATGCCCTTGTATTATTGATAATAAAAAATATTGTATCATAAAATAATCGATAAAGTTAAGTAGTAGTCTCCTGCATACCACCATGATACAAATTGGAATGACACAGCGCCATGTGTATACATACTTCAATCATGTTCATATTTCAATCACGTTCATATTTCAATCACGTTTATAAATTTTAGAAATGTTATATTCTCCTGTCATCTTTTACAATATATAAATGACATGATGAAGCTGGAAACAACATTCTCAATCCACCAAAAGGTTGGCAAAATCAGTAGAATGTCATTCAGTAGCATATAGATATAGAATATCTACCGAAGATAATTAATGTGTATATACTGTAGGAATACCATACTCAACGAGTACGCAACATTTAAGCTAAGGTATTATGAATCATAGCCAAGTACTTACGGAGGCTTTCGGTGAAACAAAACATCTATGTCGAGTTTGCCCGCACTCTCGAGGACAGAATAGCTTTGTGATGCAAATGTAAATGTGCCTACTAAACTTGCAGCTGAAATAATATCAAAATAAATACTAATAATAATATATGAGGTTTTTGGGATTTTTCCACATTTTTCAGTATTCAAACTGTATATTAAATTCTCCCTTTCTCAATGAAAATAAACTGCTCCTCTAAAAATTAACATGAAAATAGAGATTCTAATTTTGTCTTAAAAAAATGTTAGCATTAGCTTGGTTTGAACCTAGTATTCTGGTACTGGAAGCCAAGCACATTAGTCTAAAATTCCAACATCTCAAATACAGCATATTGATCCATGTTATTTTAACTTTTTCATAATATATATGATCTCATGTTTGGCTAAGCAATAAAACACTACATAAATTGGCCTAATTTGAACCATGATGAGATTGTTCAAAAGTGTCTGTAAATTCCAGCCAAATTTAGAAGACATGCTGGATTTGCGCAAATAACTAATGACTATACCAAGCGGAAGTCTGAAAAAGGAATCAAAGTCTGTGTTTGACCAATAAATAAATCTAAATCTTGAATCTAAGCAGAATTGTGCATTTCTTCAAAATGGAGGTTTTTCCTCAGACGAGAAAGTGCTAGAGAAAAAAGGGCCCTCAGAAATATAAAAGCTTTTTTGAATTACTGTATGGCCCTGAATGGTGAAATGGTCAGTTCTGATATTTTAACAAAGAGTAAATTAATTAAAAAAATAAAGATTTCATGCCAAACAATGACCGGATTTCTTAAAAATCTATAGGACTATCATTTAAAAAGTAAGTAAAAATAATATTTAAATTATCTATTTATTTAAATAAATACATATATTAAATAAATAGTCAGTTATTTTTTTACTATTTGGAAAAAACTAGATACCTGGAGGAACATCTGTCTGACGATGACTTTGAATGTTCTGAACTTTCTCTACCAATGCCAGCATTCGTGGAGGACCTGGTGAACGGACGTGAGCCCGCTTACCACCAAGCAAAGACCTCACTGCTGCATGACGAAACCTATGTGAAAATATTAAACGTCAATCAAAAGTCCATGAGCTTGCCAAATTCAAACAAGTAGCCTCAATGTATGAGGAGAAATTGTTTGACAGAAACAAACTTACTATAAAAAATAGCTTTAATAAAGTAAAGAATATAAGTATTAAACAATGATTTACCTGATAAAACAAGAAATATACATTTATGGTGAATAAATTCTTAAGTAATTATTGAAAAATGTGTTAAAATATATTTCTTAAAAAGGTCATGAAGATGATAACGAGTTGCATCTAGTCAGTTATGACTATGGAATATAAAATTCCTAATTACTGCCAATTTATTATATAATATAATGTAATTTAATATGAGAAATGATAATGAATACTGTAAGTATATAACTATTCAAAGTACATTAATTAGCATGTTGTTTGGGCTCTCAATCTTGAGGTGAAGGGTTCCAACCCCCACATGGTCCATTTTGCAATATCCTATAGCAAGGTATTGATGTATGTTTTATCTCTTTCTATCCAAGAGCATAAATGGCTTTCACGTAGGAGGTTGTATTAAATGTGTTGGCGTTGTAGCTATATTACGCTGCATCATGACTTGGAACATTATTCCCAAGAGAGTGAAGGAGGTTGCACATAGTTCATGTTTTCTAGTTGAATCCAATTAATGTTAAAATGAATTTAAAACATGATAATTGTATAGGAAGGCATGCTACATGTAAATCAGTACTAAATATCTGCTAAATAATACCGTCAACCTATAATTAAGCCACTGAAGATTATAATTATTATATTAAACATTAATTAAAATTATACTAATTATTCAGTTTATTGTAATATCTATAAATGTACAAAGTATAACCTCCTATAAAAGTTAGCGTCTTGAATAATATGTTAATTTAATCAGGATTAACTGATTAATTTGAAATGTATACCATACAGTAGCTTTGATTAAAACGTGGAGTGGTTGATATTGTTAAATGTAATCAATCAATGGAATATTAAAATTAGTGGAAAATTGCCTGTTGCATAAGACATTGAAATTCTGCAGTTAATAATCAAACACAAAACGCACATCCCAAAAGTAACTATTCGCAATTAATTTTTCTCAAGTCTAATACAGTAAGTCATTTTCATGTTTGTTTTATGTAATCTCAAAGGATTTAAAGTCTCGCAAAATCAAATAAGTATCCCGTGCTGGCGCCATTATTTAACCCAAGATAATTTGATCCAGAAATTAGTAAACATGCACAAAGTGCAACTACTTCCATTCACTGCGGAGTAATTATATTCATGCCTTGGTACTGTACTTTGCGAACAGACCAATGCCACAAAATTCTACCATGTAACTCTTGGGTAAAGAGGCAACTGAAGATAAAGTGCCTTGTGCAAGGACGCAAGTGAAATCATAGAGAGTGTGGGATTAACACTCCCGACCTCAGTGGTTAGAGCGCGAACCGCAACCAACGCAGCACGTATACACATTGCATACAAAATAGATGAGCCGTACTACAAATTAAAAATCAAATAAAATACATACAGTAGCAAAACATAGGTTTAAATGAACCACTTAAAACAGTACATGATGAATATTGGGATCAAATTTTAAATAGATGAGCTGTACTACAAATTAAATATCAAAACAAATTAAATATTTTAATATTAAACATTTTCTGAGAATGGCAATTGGAGATGGCAAAATTAACAGGTTGAAATTTAATCTGGCTTCTACTGAGGAAAAAAAAATTTGACCATTTCATCAATAGACGACAAGAAGTAATAAAAAAAACCCTAAAAATATATATAAAAGCGCCATCAAAACTGAGAGCGATATTCTCAATGTGATGCTGTTCACGCAGTGTCATTGATTTACTTGAATGTTAAATCGAGTCAGCAGAGCTGTTAATTTGAAACCCTCCAGACATGACACTCACTTTGCTCGTGCAAAAGTCGTTCTGGCACTATCTGTTCTCAGTAACCGACTGTCTTCATCGCCAATTTCCGCATCCCTTGTCATCCTTAAATCAAAAAAAAAAATTTGATTAGCCAACGTAATGCGGTTGTGGTCATTAAATTTTCATAATTTAAATTAAATTAAAAGCAAATCATGCAAAACATGTCAAATTGGAGCAGTGATTAACGTAATCACACCTAGTTGTCTCTAAAAAGTTTGACTGTTAAAATCAGAAAATAATCTCTGACGAAATACATAAAACATACTAAGAAACATAAATTAATCCAAAAAAAAATTTGATTAGCCAACGTAATGCGGTTGTGGTCATTAAATTTTCATAATTTAAATTAATTAAAAGCAAATCATGCAAAACATGTCAAATTGGAGCAGTGATTAACGTAATCACACCTAGTTGTCTCTAAAAAGTTTGACTGTTAAAATCAGAAAATAATCTCTGACGAAATACATAAAACATACTAAGAAACATAAATTAATATATTAATTTTCCTGTTTGTGTCCCACAGAGTGGTTTTGAAGGAAATTTGATAAGAATTATCAATGTTCATCTGAACATTATTTTGTAAATTTGCTTCTATTGTGAACAATGACAAACTTTATGTTACAGTTAGAAATGCATTGTGGGATTCCAAGAAAGCATTACATCATTAATATGTTTCTAGCCTTGAAATTATATACGTGTTTCAAAGCTGGGTAGAGTAGAAGTAACAAGACGATAGCATTTTGTCATTAACGCAGCAATCTTGTTTATGTTTAAATATTGAATGTTTATTATTATAAATTTAATAAATACTGTACTACGAAGTTCTGCGAAGCAAACTATTAAATCATTCAATAGTAAACTTCATGGAACTTCATAGTCTTCATTATATACATTTTTAAAAGACGTATTGTCTCTTGCTAATGTCAAAAAATCATAACAAATAATTTTTGAAATTAAGTTGCTCATTTTGCAGTAACATACAAATGATTAACTTAAGCATAGAAATTATTAAATTAAAAAAATGTACACCCAGATTTTGAAACCATAAATTATAATAAAAATAATAAAACACTTCCAGTGACTGGCAGTGTTTCTATCATTTTTCGCTGCAAACTGATGGGTAAACATTTTTTAAATACACTAATTCTATGTTCAACTTTTATGTTACTTCAAAATGGTAAATTTCAAAAATTATTTTTATGGTTTTTTTGGTATTTTGCATGGGACAATACATCTTTAAGTATGTTAGGGTTTAATTATCATTAGAGTATCATTATTATTAATATTATTTCCTATTATGTACAGTGCATGCTTGTTATCAACTTCAGTTCAGATTTCTTGGTCTACACTATGTTTTAATGACTTTATTTTGGTCAAAATTACTTTGTAATATCTGAAGATAATAAATAAATAAATATTATTGGTCAGCAGAGAATTTTATGTCTAAATAAGTACATGAAATAAAATACCTCTAATCATTTATTGGCTTTACAGATGATATAAAAAATAGGAAAGATTTGAAACATAAATAAAAGACAGACAAGATGGGTGAAATATGCTAGATGATGATTATTTCACAAAGGTAAAATTTTTTCATAAAAACTGAGGCAGAAGAGATATATTTTAGTTTGTTTAAATTATTTCTTGCTCATACGTATGAACGAATGCCATCGCATTTAAATGCTCTAGGCATAGAAATGATGGTTACTTTTAACAGCTAGCTAGCTAGTTGTCAAAGTAAAACAGGTTTGTTTAATCTTTTTACACAATCCACAAAAAAAAAAAAAAACCCACCATCCACAAAAAAAAACCCAAACCAAACCATTCAACACTAAAGTATTAATGTACGTTTCAAGGTACGAACATTAGTGTTGGAGGTAAAATGACGACATCAAAATTGACTTTTAGAGGGTATTAATTTATTGTTCAGGACATAAAAATCAACCCTACAGACACAGTAAAGCATAAAGATTATCCAGGGAATTGTTAGATTCAACTCTCTGGATTGTCTAAGCCTAAGTACTGAATGTTATTAGGCCAAAGTATTTATTATTAGATATTATAATGAAATAGAAGCCATAGTACATATGTATGCATATGTAATTGCGTAATGATAAGATACTCAATGTTGCATAAAAAGCTGTACCAAGGTTAACTGTCTATTGGTTTTACTTGTTTTGGATTCAAAGGATTATTTATTATCTATTTGATTTTCTATAAGATTAAAACCTCCAATTACTTTATTAAGATTTGATCAGATGAAGAAAATATGATAGTGTAATGCTTAATGTTAGAATTAGATTTTAACATTGTTTGTTATTGTAAAAGGCATATTTGGCTATGTGACAAAGGTATAAATATAGAAATTTTAAAATGAATAAAAATAATATTAAAAATAATAAAAAATTTAACATAGTGATAATGATAACAATAACACTGCTAATAGTGTTAGTAATAACAATAGTATGCTAGTAACCATAACAAATAAACAAAACAAAAAAATATAAAAAATAACATTGAAATAAGTAAAATAAAATGATAATGTTTTCATCCCTTTGAAAATTGTTGAAAATAATATTTAACAATAATAAAACTAACAGCCAATAAAAACACAGAATTCACATTTGTACTACCATTCAACATAACATTTTACAAAATTTTGTCTTAACTGCTTTTCAATCTTGTTGAGATTGTTCAAACTGTATTATCTTTGTTTAGATCCCCTTTAAATGTAGGAATACCTCCATAGTAGAACCACAACAAAAATATGGTACCTTTTTCACTTTTTTTGAGATATCAATTGTATCTAGCTTTGTTATGTATTCAGTGTCATTATTTGTTTTTATGCATAACTTTGTGTATGTATGTAATTACAACATGATTGCACATAGCTATATTCAGTCATGAAATTTCCCCATAGTGAATAAAGTCTTGCATCCTTAATTAAATTTTAATAAGTCAATCAAAATGAAAAAAAGAAAATTAATGATTTTACATACTGGTAGTGCATAATTTCTTTATATAATATTCTTGGTTGAGTACATATTATAGTATGTATCCTGAACATGCATTAGATATTAGGTAACATTGTTGTTGTTAGTACTGTAATAGATCGATGTAGGAAGAAATGAGCTCCAGATCGTTCTGTTGATTGACAGAACATGGTCAAATTATAAAACATGATAAGATTTTAAATAAATTTCTGAATCGGCAATGAATATCTCTTGGGGCACAATTCTAACAGCATGAAAGGAATTGTGTTGCGTTGATATCGGAAAGCACTGTCTCACGGCTAGTCTTACGATTATGCTTCCAATCACAATGTAACTACTAGCAATCATGCTACCAATCGGGAGATAGAGAGTTAATTGTAAACAGGCTAAAAAATGTGAATTATGTGCAAGTCAACAAAAAAACTATACTGGGTTGGAAGATTCAATGGTGAAAAAACTTGCCAAAAAGAGGGTCAAACAAGTTTGACAGGGGTCCAAGAAGGGGCTGGAGCCTTGGTCAGGATCTCCCAATAAAATTACAGATGGGGATCTGCAATCTCATTAAGTACATTTGGAACAACAAAACAATATTTTTAGTTCGACAACCTTGTTGTAGCATTGAATGAAAGGGAATCCAGGCTTGTCTGACCAAGAAATATTTCCCCCTAATCCCAGGAGGCACCACCACTGCTTAGCTTCTAGACTCGTGTAAAATCTGCTCAGTAGATTTTACATGTTTTAGCGTTTTTTTATTTGCCTCGATGCTAAATACGCAGTACATGCAGTGTTCCTTCCAGGGTTGCTAACACATGCCAAATGTAAAGCATTAAAATGTCTAATCTTTCCATTATGATCAAACTGAACATAACTTAGTCAAGCCAGACAGGTTGATGAACCATGTATCCTTGCAACTTGCAAGACTTCACACACACACACATCACTAAATATTAATATTCAATGGTCTGCTGAGGTACAAACATAAGATGTACATAGTATTTTCGTCTACACTATACATACAACTAATGTATAGTATATAATATATACTTCAAGATGGTATAGAAAAATATTAATTTAATGATTTATATCTATATTACTTATTTATATCATTATAATAATAATAATAATAATATAATAATAATATACTAATAATAATGATAAATTCTTCTATAGCGCATTTTGCAACAATGCGATTAACAACAAGAAAAAGAACAAGCAGAAAGCTACATATTTGCATTATTATTAATATTACACATTCTTTAGATCTATATTAACAGTTAAAAGAAGTGGAGATAAACAGCTTTAGATAAGATAAAATTGACTTCCAATAGCAGTGATCCTCCAAAGCAAACCCCACAGGGCTTGTACTGGAAAGCTAATGAGCAAGGCCTAGTAAGAAACAGTTGGACCCACAGGCTTTTCTTCCTACAATGCATGTCTGCTTTTTGATGGTTTTCTTTGTTACTTTTTGTTTAGTTTCAAGAACATATTATAGTTTAGTAAATTTGGTATTTTTTGTGCAACCTAATTCTCTGCTTTTTCCATACTTATTATAATTACTTTTAAAAAATCAATAAACCTTTTATAGAATTCAACCATTTTAAAGATACCCTGAACACTTAAGCCGCTTGAGATGAAAAGATGAGGAAAAAAATAAAAGCATCATCAATAAGGTTCCTTAATTTTGATATATGACATTCAAAACATAACACTAACAATAATTATTATTAATAAGTATAATAAAAGATGGATTTATACATAGCATAAATAAATGACGTCTTTATGAGCTCGACAAAAGGTAAGAAGACAATGAAAAAAATTGATGAATAAATAAGCATGAAAAAAACACCAAGCTAGCACCCAAATCAGAGTATGGAGTTACACCGCCAACCGGAGATCTATATTTACGTAATCCAGTTATTACTACCTTATGATGAAATTTAAACAATTACATACAGTACTTACAATTCACCATTTCTGTCCACTGTACTTGCATTTGCTTTAACATTTAATTGACTAAAATAAAATTTTTAAAAAAAGTATCTTTAAATTTAACACTGAATATGCTTTATCAAAATATCTAACAAAATATATTTCAAAAAGCTGCAGATAAAAAGTTTTCAATGACTTTCAGACACTATTAAAAACCTTTGTATATTATATTTCAGAGGCAGATCCAGAATTTTTTGCTGGGATGATATAAGTGGCAATCAAGGACCTGACCACATGGGATAGAACCAATGCCAAGAGAGGAAGGCTTTAGGTTCCCTTACTTATTTTGGAAACCAGGGGGGTATTCTCCTTAGAACCTTCAGAGTTTTAGCCATTATAGATCTCGCTTTTGTATTGGCTGCTGAGGGGAGAGCACACCTCTTCTGCTATCCCCTGGATCAGCCACTTTAATTTATACAAATTACTCTCATAATCACTTATTGTAAGAGTAGAGCAAAGAGCAAATTATTGCCTATTTGGCAGACAATGCAGTGTCAGTACCAACATATAATCAGTACATTGCTCCTTAACATAAAAAATTCTCGTATGAGGGTTATTCAAGTAGCCAAGCCGATTCTAGTCTAGTTCTCCCCCTGATGTTTAGCCATTTGTTTCCCGGATTTTCCCTTCTGGCAAATTCCCACTGTGACATTTTTCCCCGACTTTTTCGCCATGAGGATCTCCCAGCGACCTACTGGACTCCAATTTGAACTGCTCGCCAAAACTTACTTAAAAATAAGTACCTATAATTAAGTAGACTAGTATACCTTTGAGTTTTCTCTGCTTCCAAGTGTGCAAGAGACGGTGAAATTCCGTGGATCAGACTTTTCTTTGGTCCTCCATTTATAACACGAACATTCTAAGAAGAAAATTAATATCATCACATATTAATGTTTAAGAATGTTATAGTATGACTTTAATACATTTTGCTTGTTTATTACAGGATTTTGCAAAGAGCTATATGTTTATACAAGGATGCTATGCATGTATACTGTAATTTTTAGTTATTATTAGGATTATAAAAATTAAGTAGTATTATTGAAGGTGTACACCCCCTCTTTGTCACTCCTACAAACTTTTTTTCAGAAGCCTGTCAACATCTGATTCTGATCTTCTTTTGTTTTAAGAGCAACCAAATTTTGTCTTAAAATTTAATAAATTTTTTATCAATTATAAAATTCAGATTAGTAATTCTTTATAAAATATAATAGGAATATAAATAAAATAATGTTTATTTTTTATTTATTTAATTTAGGCATAAGACCAAGGATATGCCAATACCGAACTTAATCAGTTAAGCATCCTAATCACATAGCTACAGATAATTACATAACATATTATATAACACATGAGTGCATACTTCAAATTTTACATTTTAAAAATCAAGAAAAACAAGTTGCTCTGACCAGTAAGAACTTATTAAGCAAGATGAAAGAAAAAGCTGACATACTAATCATAGTAATAACTACATGATCATTACTAGTCATTGTATACTATTAAATTATAATAATTTACAGTATTAATCATGTAATCTTCAGGCAAAAACTAATGGCCAGGCATACTCTTTCAGTGTAAAGCAGATCATATACGTTAGATGATTTTGGAAGAAATAGACGATCCTTGACGTATAATAATCTATCAAGTGATCCTTTGACGTGATTGCGAATTCACGTGAGTGCGAGTGGGATGCATATACTGTAATTTGATCACGGTGGTATTCCTCTATGGTTTTAATAGATCCGGCATAATATCAGAGTAATTATCACATGGACAGCACAAAGGAGGAGATCATTACTTACAAAACAAGCATACATAAGGTACATCATCATGATCTGTTCGTTTAATCAAACAGATGAGACATTATTTGACAATAGATAATAGTGAATGAGCATAAAGTGTGTTGTTGCTAGCCCTAATGACTCCATGTGTGTCATACGAAATAGGGTTAAGTACAAGGCTACGATTTACGCTAATGTACTATTATTGGGTATTATACGTAACGATCTTCAGGTAATAATCAAAATAAATATAAACATGCTGTTTCCCATTTTAAGAAAAACGTTGGCGAAAGACACTTAAAAATGTGTATTATATTGATTACACTGTAACGAACTCAAACTGGTGATTCACCGTACCGACACAGAAATATGTTATCTATCATGTGGAACGTGTGAACTATACATGAACGCAACGATCTCCATTACAACATTATTGTGCATAATTACTGTATGCCTGGATGATACTTCAAAAATCTATCCAACAATTGTCATTATTATTGTTATTAATATTCTGCATTACCACAGTGCAACACTGTTCATCATCACTGTATTTGCATATGTATACGTTGTCTTACTATGGACCTTGAAGTAGATTTCTATATCAATAAAAATAATCAAAAAATAAAATGAAACTTTTTAAGTATTTTTCGTGAATAAATTCTCTCAGGCATTAATATTTTGCACAATCTTGCCCAAGAAAAATCTTGTGCATGGGAAGTTTGCGCAGGTGGTCTAGAGCGCTTTCAGTAGGACCCCTTTATAGAACACACTCCGCTCCTTGGAATAGTACTCCCAAAACCTTACAATGTGCGTTACAATAAGAATTGGAATATCGTATTTGAACTTAAACTATGATCTTTTGATTAGAATGCTAAATACTTGTTACAGATGTAAGGGGCGGGATGAGAATAGTATCAAAAATTATTTTGTAACAGTTTTGTTACAAAGGTGTTGATTGATTAGTTTGGAACATGTCAATCATGCTGAAATAAGAGAAGAATGTTCACGGTTCACTGAACAGTGACTGAAAAATTACTAACAAGTGTGTAAAGTATTATATTTATTCAACATATTGATCCCTATTGATAACTATTTATAGAGTATAATTTTAGGTTGGTTAGTAATATAGTCAACCTAATCAGGAAAAGTATAAAATGGCAGACATGTCATAATCAGAAAATCAAACTTCAACATGGAAAAAAAGTGTCATTGTCCTTGTACACAACACTCGTATGATTAGTCCATGACTGTAATTTCAAGATTAAAGATGTATTGTTCCTTGAAAATGACAAGAAATTATAACAAATAATTTTGAAATTAATTTGCTCATTTTGCAGTAACATACAAATTATTAACTTGAGCATAGAAATTATTGAATTTAAAAAAATGTGTACTTTGATATTTATACTGGATATATGATATGATAATAAATATAATAAAACAATTTTAATGACTGGAAGACTTATTCTTTGCAACATTATCTGTACACATTTTTTAAATAGACCAATTTTTTATTACTATTAGAAATATTATTACTATTATTATTAACATTTTATTTGTCATTTTAAGTAATAAAAAAAGTTTGTCAATTTGATAAAATAAGGTACCACACTCCATATACAGGCACAGATGCAAGGGGGCCCACCCGGTCAGGGCTCCTCCCCCCTTTGGAAAGTCCAAAAAAAAAAAAAAAAAAAAAAGACAGAAGAAAAAATTGATTGCCCAAAAGGCCTCAGAGGTTATTTTTGGGCATCTAGAACACAGAAATGTTTTCATGGGGGCATTCCCCCGGACCCCCTAGAGTATTGGTGTCTCAACATTTTGAGCCCCACTTTGAGCCCCTTTTTGAACACCTCTGGATCCATCCCTGATATGCATAAAAATAAACTAGAGCCAGTAGCTTTCAACAATGAAGTTTTCTCGTCTTCTTCTCAATTTCTCCATAGCTACACTGAAGCACCATTGTGATACATGTCCCAGAGTACATTTTACTACTAAACGATTTCTTGGCCTATCCATCTCGCTCATAAAAGGGTTGGTCACCTGCTAGGTCAAAAAAATGGATGGGTCCATAATTTTGCACCATGGGATAAAACATTTGGAGGGAATTTTAAGATCATTTATCAGAGAAATTATCAGTGCTGCGAAAAAACATGGCCTTAATGTGATCAGCTTAGCTCAGTCGGCTAATCTGGTGGTAGCCACTCTGTGTGTGCTGAAACGTGGAATTCTCTAGGTCCTCGGTTCAATTCCCATCGCTGCATCTCCTTGTGTTTCAGCTGGAGGGCTGAAACACAAGTACAATAGCGCACCATCTTTGGGATGAGACATTTAAGCCGTTGGTACCGTGTGCATCTGTGGCTCATGTGCACATTAAAAAACGCAGCACACTCTTCGGAAAAGAGTAGGGGATTGTCTCCCGGTGTACTGCCCAATCACTACCAGAAGGTCCCCACTGGAAATATGTCTTCTTCTAGACTTTTGTGGGCAATCCTTGGTGTTTACACCGAAAAAATCCATCCATTAATTGTCATCATTAGACGTTAACAAATTACCATATTTCACCATTTTTAATAAGTTATTCAATTTTGTAATTAAATTTTTGAAGTTCTTCCAAACTTCTTGAGCAACAGTTATTTAAATGCAAATTTTTAACTTGTACAGGTATTGCTTTTCATAAATTATTCTTTTTTATGCTTAAGCGGAATGATTTGAAAGTTAATTATCCTTACTGAAGATTACTTATTATTCATAGTAATCAAAAACTAGGATCCGGTTGAACTTTATCTTAAATTAATCACAATAAAGTTTACTGTTAGTTTTTCTTGAAATTTCAATTTACAGCTCATATTAATCAACTCTAGGGATCTGAGTTACCATGACAAAACATTGTTGAATGAGATGCGTTATTTTCATTGGGGTCTTAATGATTATGTAATATTATTCCCAATAAATATTAATTTCCCCAGAGGCCCAGAGGCCATTAGCATAATACTAAACTTGTAATGAGCAGTTTAGTTCTATGTATTGCAACAAATAATTTTTTGAGGCTGAATAGAATTGGTTTCAATGTACTTTTCCATACCAACTTCTCCTTTTCCAATCCTTCTTGTCTAATAAAAACTGAGCTGAATGCTACATCTACATCAATTGCTAGCTAAGTGCCAGTCTTGTTGAATGTGAAATTACAACCTTATATATCACATATCTAAAGTGGCCATCTCAATGGAGCTAATTAATCATATATATAAGACTACAAAATAGAAAAGGTATTACATAGACTTCACATGTTATAATAACTAATGGACAAATTTTCCTTAAGCTATATTTATCATGCTCATAAAATATTTTTATGAAAATTATTCAAAAAACTAAATTATTTAGATTTATAGGTTATTGATTGAAGAAATTATGAAGAAGAGCTATATTAGGCAGAGGGAAAAATTAATAGATAACAAACAGCTCATTTTAAGAAAATCTTGATTTTACATTGACATTAATGTGTGTGGTTGTAATGTCTTTATTAAATCATAATGCAATCTTCAGTACAGTATTTCTTTACTAATTAGTATGATCATTTCTTCCCATTTTCATTCCATTAAACTCTTTAAAAGTGTGAAATTTAGCATAATTAAACCACAATCCTGATGGCCTAGTAATTGTTTACAGAATTCTCTGCACATCTCTTAAATATGGCATGTGGTAATTGTTTATTGTAATTGCTTGTGCATAATGCACACACCTTGATTTCAAAGGTACATAAAAGAAAGTGATGTTTCAAGATATAGGATATAGGATCATCCGACAACCGAACTGTGCTGTTGATGCTCAGTCAATATCGCCATCACCAGTGCACCATCATCATCGTCAATCTTCATCTAGTAAAACTGCAAAGTCATTAACTTTAAAAAACCCACACACATTACAATTTGTTTTGGGTCCCAAAAATCCTGTAAAAGACAGGCCAAATGACCTAAAATCGCATGAAAACCGACCATTTTTAACGTGTTTTTTAAGCTTTTTCCTTTGACATTACACCAATTTTGTTGGCCGTTTCGGTAACGTATCCACAATTTATTTAGAAATAATGTTTTTATATAACAATGTTTTTATATAAAATATTTCTAAATCAGTTTTGCTTTATCTGAATCTTTTTTTTACTGCAAGCGTATCCGAAAACCGTCCGCGTAGTAACATTGGCTGTTGACCTGAAGCAACCTAAATTATACGTTTGGCTTTCACAAAAACATCTCTCATTCATTCAATTTTCATGGCCTTTACAGTATCAAAAAGAGAATAAATTAAGCTTTCATGTCATCTAAAAATTTATTAGCTTACTTTTGTGGATGGAATGCCCACTTATGTAGGTATGAAATTTTAAAATTTGACAATCTCTAAAACTAAAGAATGGGAAGGTATTGCACCTTCAAATTTTAACGACTTGTTGATGAAAAACTTTGATTTCTCAGAGGTATACCGGTAATAATAATTTCTATTATATTTTATAAATATTAGGTATTATAGAGACCTGAAAATTTCAGTAATCAGTAGTTTTAAAACGTTGAACTATTAGAAATTATTTTCAGAGGTAAAATTTTGGTCACCCTGACGCCACACTAAGATCAGCGGACCCGACCATTATACACTTCAGGTCAGTAGTAAAAAGTGCCTAGTTCCATGAATTTATACTATTCAAGGAAATTCCTATTCAATGCCCCCCCCCCCTTTTGGAAAGTCAAAAAAAAAAAGGGAAAAAAAGAATGAAAGAAAAAGAAATAATTTGATAACCCAAAACTCTTCAGAGGTTATTTTTGGGTGTTTAGAAAACAAAAATTTCACGGGACATGCCTCCGGACCACTTAGGTTAGTGTTGTCTTGATCGGCCCCACTTTCGGACATCTCTGGATCCGTCCCTGGAGAATGTCTCCTTAGGCTCTAGTTAAGAGGTACGGTCAAATAATTTATGGGGTGATTCAGCGGTCACTCCATTGTACAAGGGAGTAATTCAAGATACCTTGTAAAATGCTTTACGCATAGGCTTAGGTTGGCCTATACTAGGCTAGCTAGAGAATCAGTCGAGAATCACAACAAATTGTAATGCCAACAATGGTATGCTGACATGTTGAACACAAAACAAGAGGATTTTTAGCACCAAAAATAATATAATCTTCCTTCCTAACAACGCCAGTACAGATATGAAACATGTAGGCTGAGGGCACCTTGACCTCTGACGATTACAATAGTGCAATTTTCACAAAAACGTGATGCAATAATGACAAAATGATTACCGGTATTATTGTTTAATTTCAGTACATATTTTCAGCCGCTCCAAATTTCTTTCCTATTCTTCTTTCTTCCTATTCTTCTTCCGTTTTTTTGTTAAATTAAATTTAATATACTAAATACATATTTACCCATATTTATATAAATATATAAATAAGTATATCATTTTTTGACTCTAGAACTATGCCTGTGTAAACATTGTGTCTGTATTCAACATAATTCAATCTTACTGCTTTATTTAAATATCAAATATTATTAAACTTTAACGACTACATTGTTTCATATAATATATTTTTCAAATAAATATCTAAACAGTTTTAATTAGTGAAATATAAACTCTGAAAGTAAATTTACATAGATTAGATCAATAAAAATTTACATAGTAGTAATTATTATCTATTCATTAACAAGAATAACTTTTTCAATCTTCTAATCAATTTTATATAGCCGAATTTAGTTTTGACCTAGGCAAACCTTGCTAATAAAAAAGGTACACTTTCTCCATCAAAAGGCTTTTTCTATGAATGCAATGAGTTATGATAGGGTTAAAACATTAAGAAGATATTCGATCTTGGCTACATACCCGCGGACCATGCATCGCACCTGATCCGTTGCTGCATATTCGGGAACTCATTACCAGGTCACTACCTAGGCCTACAATAGGCTAGGCTAGCGCCAACTAGTACTACTAGGCCTAGAATAACTTTTTCAATCTTCACTAATCAATTTTAGGCTAGCCTAGGCCTACTAGGCTAGGCCCTAGGATAGGCCCATCCCCAAGCCTAGGCCTAGGCCTAGAGTAGAAAATATGGTGGTGAGGTGATGACAGTGGAGGCACACTCAACCAACCTTGCCTCAGTCTAAAAAAAGTTATGACGCCTATGCTTAGTCTAGGAATAGAAAATTAGTGATTATTGTACAACTAAATATATGCACCTTCCCTTCAACAAGTGCACTTATTAATAGGTACCTGAAAACGAACTGCTGACCAAAAAAAGACGACCGACCGACGACGGAACGAAAGTTTCAAACTTTTTTAACTATGAAGAGCAAATTGGGTCAAAAACTAAAACTTTTCAACTGTAATGAATGCTGAATATGCAGTTGTGTTGTCGCGGATTAAACGCCCAATTTATCTGCAACGCACTAGATCGGCGGTGTAATCGAACGTGAGGCCACTTCATACTACCAGCCTTTTTATCCGACTGATATAAGCTATTGTCAGTGGCGTATCTAGGGGGTGCGCGGGGGGCTCACGCCCTTTCAAAAATTATTCGTTCCCCCAGAAGCTCCGCCTCCCCCAAATCATGATCAAGTAGTTAAAAATCACCTCATTTTGAGAATTAGCCCCCCCCCCACTTTAACTTCGCGCACCCCTACTGTTATTATGTTTCATTTTTCATATTTATATTGAGCCTAAATATTTGTTTTATATAGCATATGCATTTTGTGGGATTTTGGTAGAGGGTTTCTATGTATCATGATAAATATTGTCAGAAGCTCTCTTCAAGTTCGAGCCCATTTACGTTATTGTTATATAAATACCGGTGTAATAAATTAAATTTCTTACAACCGGAAAGTGTTTATTTGAAAGGTTCTTAAAAATCATAAAGACAGTACGTAATTTGATAAGTCAGGGATAACACCTCCGTGTGGTTCATGTATCATATACGGTTCGAGATGTCAAAGTAAGGAAATAGCTTGACATTACCTTAATTATTGTATCATCACTCTTGATCAATTGCTAATTGCTGGCAGGGTATTAGCTTTTCAATTTACAGGAATGAAGGAGATATCAAGGCAGGCCTTGGGTTATATAATCTAGCAATAGTTCATTACCATGCACTGATACTATGCATTGATAAAGCTCAACGACTTTTCATAGCTAACACGACATGAATAGGTTTGTATCTGTGGCATCGAGGGAAATTGAAAATATGACTTAGGTTTATGTTTAAAGAAACACGGTTTTGTCATTAACGAACAGAAACGATGGTTATAAATTTAATTAGGATGAATGTATAACTTCAAATTCATAATATTATACAAATTATAATGATGATGATATTATGATTAATAATAAACATTAATGATAATGATAGTAATGGCAATAATATTTTTTAAATAATCAAATTCACAGAAGCCCCTACTTACATGCTGACTGATATTGCCTCCTTCCACGCCAACCGCACCACGTTTGCTACACCACCATCCATTATCCTGCGCATACGCTGACAAAACCAACACAGGAAAAAATCCCAGTGTCACCCACGCCTCCCACATGTCAATTTGTTGTGGAGTTATCCAAAGAAGTACAATCAACAACCAGATATATGCGAAAATTGACCATACCGCAGTTAGCATAAACACTCCGAAATCTTTTACTTTCTTCGTCTCCGGCGACGGGACACTAGCAATACAGACGGCGGTAATCATAAGCAGATTAAAAGCTGCACTGCCGATAATAGTGAAAGTTCCCAAACTGTCTTTATTCCCTATGTCGCTTATCGTAGAAATAGTTTCTACAACAGCCAGTAAAATTTCAGGAGCACTGCTACCCAGTGCCATGAGCGTCAAATTCGCAACCGTTTCGTTCCAAACCAACACCTCTCTCTCCGTTCTGGTATTTTTCTCCGCATCCCACCTCACAACTGTTTTCTTTTTACTTGTTATTACCTCAATACTACACATAAAAACGTCACTAATAATCGCTATACCGATGAAAATGTATACCATAGCAAGAATGTACAGGAAACCCCGTACCCCCTCCGACCATAGGTTTTCAGCGGGAAGCAGTAGCCAACTGCTACACACCTTGTCACCTTTACCGTAAACTTCGACCACATATCCGCGGGAATAATTCGAATAATGCTGCATAACCATGGTGTTTTAGCTTCAATCAGCCAGGTTTACTCTGAAAATAAATGCATAGAACATAATTAACAAAAAGTAAACATCTGTCTTAAACATTCAACCATACCGTCTGTCATAAACACTAGAAAACCCACTCAAAATCAATTTTAAAAGCACATTTATAAACGATTAAATTAATAAGTGATTAACTTTCAATGTCACACAGATTTCAACGTCACACAGGGTGCTAGATCGAGGGCCCTGTGGACCACCGCACGAGAGCGCATAGGCGTTACGCCACTGTTTGTGGGACAACACGTGCGTATGTGACATATGCGCGTACTTTTCTGATTGGCTTGGATAATAAATCGGTGAAAATTTAATTATTATTACTGTTTTTTTAAGTTAAATTAATAATTTGTTCAATCATTTCAAATTAAACAATTACCTTTTATCAAATTGGATTTTAAAGGTTTAAAACCAATGAGGTACTTTATTCTGAAAAAGAACCCTGTAACAAATCATAATTACGGCTTCTCGTTAGCCGTTATTGTAACTTATACAGGGTTATTATAATTACCTTATTGTTTCCGCGTATATATAATAATTTTAAAAGTCTCCAATGCTCTCTAGCTTCATCAAGCATCGTTAAATTAGTTCGATTTTTCACCGGGTAATTAGGAGGATATTTTTGCATGATTGCTATTATTACGTCGGCTATTATACCATACTATCATATTTACTTCTCGTATATTATATTTATATCTATATAGAATCGCCGACAGAATATTAATGATAAATTATAATGGTATATTTTCAAAATTAGAATATTTGCAGACTAGTATATTTGATAAGATATCATTTAATCAATGTCTGTATTGATTGTTGTTGCCTAGTAACAATTGCCATAGTAATTATTATTGTGCCTAACAATGATATCTCAGGTAACGACTAGGAGTTTTTGGTATTGGAGCCTATTGCACAAATCATTTCAACTATAAATCAACATTATACGCAGCAATAAATATTTTAATTAGTTTTTCTTTGAGAGATATCGAACACCAGGTTTATTTATGTGGTTTTTTTTTTGTTTTTTTTTTGTGTGTTTTTTTTTAATGAAGAGTTAATTAAAGGTTGCTTCTTTATTATATATGAATCGCATAAAATCATCTCCAATATACCAATCAAGTTGCATTACATATTTCGTATTACCACGTCAGTATATACATAGGCCCTACTGTATAGATGAGGTATCTCCGATTGTCATTATATATACCGATACAGCCTAATGCCTTCGGTATATATAATGTATGTGTAATATAAATTATAATGTAGATACATGTTTATGGACCAAAATCATTTAAAAAGGAGCCGTAAGATTAGACCACACGGCGACACATGGCGGCCACAACGTCTACTAATTTTCAGTACAACGACAGTCCCTTTTTTTTTTAAATATTGTACTGAAAGCTTTTTTTTTTTAAATATTGTACTGAAAGCTTTTTTGTTCGGATGTGATACGTAGAACCAACTACGGCTGACGTCCCATCCCAAAGACAAGGAGACCTTTCCGGAGTGTGTCAACAACCGACCAATCAGAACAGGGCTAATAATACGCGCGTGTCTTACAAAAACACACTTGCTGTCCCCACAAAAGCACGCGTTTGCGTTTACACACTGTCGCTGTCGTTTAGTTGAACATTTTATAGCAATGTTTAAACGGATGGGTCCTGGCGGAAAGGTCCATTTCACCCATTAGTGTCCCCAATTCCCTACTGCTGTGCTAACTCGCACGCACATACACGCATTATATAGGAGATAGAGAATCGCTTGTCAAGAATCATGTAATACGCCTCGAGAATAATATAAACATTTAGATCTTTGGACAGTTCAAGTACGTGATTTCTGTTTGAAGTAGATGATGACGTAGCAGTCACGAGGTGTGTGCTAACAGACACGTACTAAATATCAATTATTATTTCCATTACATATCTTTTAACAAAATTTTGTTTCCTTGTTTTTTTTCATATCAAAGCACGAACTCGACAATTACATGTTGGAACTTTATGATGAAGTCTGCTTATGTGGCTAGACTGGAGAAATTTTAGTTGTGAAAGCAATCCTTGAGTTAATATATTGCGGGGGTTTTTTGGACGGGGGGGGGGGAGTTATGACAACCAGATTTATTTTTGTTTAATTCAGGGGCTGTAAAGTATTTGAACCCATGACACCGAGATTGAAATTAACCGTTTTAACATTCAGACCATAGCTTCACCCTGCCGATTGATTGGAAATATAATAGGCCTACAATTGTTTATGTAAACAAATAAGATGATTTCTTTTGAAACGATTAAATGTCTACCTTAAGTAAAGCAAACTTAAAGTTAATGTGCAGCAACCCAATATTGAGATATTGGATTAGACTATCTTAATCCTGAAGTCATGCCACATAAATATAGCGAGACGATACATATAAACAACAAATAACAAAATAAGGGTGAGATTCAGTTAAGATATTTTTTTTTCATATACAATTTTTTTTTGTTTTCGCATGTAATAGGAAGACAAACGAATGTTCGAGCAGCCATGTTAGTCGGAGTGCCTCAATTAAATGTAATTAAAGTGATTAAATGACTTCCTTTCAACTCAATGACAAAAAAGAACATGCAAATTGTATAATAAAGTTATAAACAAGGTGAAATGGAAGAAAGCACACAGACATGTGAAGATACAGGATAACTGACTGGTCAGCTTAAAAAACAGAAAACAGACAGTAGAAAGCAAGAGAACATGGAAAAAACAGGACAGAGAAAAACATGTCAATAATAATCAATGGTTGTTGCTCGGGGTGAACGATTGCTACACTCAAAACCCGATCTATGCCTTATGCAGATTTTTATTTGATTTATTCGCAGCCGTTTTATTTTGATCACGAATTCGATTAGTTTGTTACCATTAGTTGCCTTTGTCGCGCCTTTATCTACAAAATAGTGATTATACGAATCTGTTATTATTTAATCTATTTGTTGATATAGAAATTTAGTGTATGCTAATATTAGAGCATAGCACTGTTCGTTAATGTTAAACTAAAGAGATTTATGGTAGTGTAGAGGAATTATTATATAGTAATTCTCACTGGAATTAAGCTAAGAGAACGAAAATATCTATAAACCTATGTTACCATTTACAATTTAACATCTACAAGTTTATATATTTCTCATTTCTTTTCGTTAAGCCCATAGGCCTATCGGGCTCAAATTTACATTGTCCACTAAAATATAATCTACACGATATTCATATCACAATCAAAATTTAAGGTAGTAAAGAAAATCAAAAATTGGCAAAACATCAAAAATAGTTTAAAATGATAATAACAACATCTAAAACTTGCTAAATTTTTTATACTGAGAGATGTCCAGATAATTGCAATGCTTCAAATGTGATACGTGCCCCTTTTTATTACATCGTAGGTCTTATTTTCTGTCACCCAAATGTTTTTTGAGACATAAAACACATAACGACAATACCAAATGATTCATCTAGAAATGCAATTATTCTATCCATCTTCCGTTTTGTTTCTAACTTAGCCACGTCCTCCTGGTACTGGACACTTATTTGCCGCTTGAATGCAAATGACGAATTGCAAGACCGATTTAGACACGTTGCATCGGTTGATGTTTGATATAAGTCATGGTGTGTATGATTTGTTTTATTTCTTAATGGCAGTAATTTATTGGTCATTGGGCTCCACACTAATTAGAATATTACAAAACTGTGGAATAGCAACATTTCCTATAACGTAAGTTCTCGTTTACAAATATTTTTATTAGATAAATGTTTAAATGTTAAATCTGGAATGATATTAGTGAAGACCTCAAAAATGTTATTAATGTCAATTTATTTAAAAAAAAATGCTTATTGCTACCATGTAAACACAATTTTTGTTCATCCATTGTGATTTTTTTTATTTCTGTTTATTAGCTTTTGATTTTGAGTTTAGTTTTTTTAAGTTCAGTTAGTATCTTTTTATCATGTAGATGGGTGACAGGCATTTTGTAACCTGGATGTTGATATTGTAATTCTTTTTACCAATGTATATCAGCTTATTGTTTATATTTTAACTTTAGTTTTTAAGTTCAATTAGTACCTTTTAGGTAATATTTGTATTTTATCTTTTTATCATGTAGATGGGTGACAGGCATTTTGTAACCTGGATGTTTCATGACGCTATACTACAGGTGCTATGCAATATGGACATTTCGTAACCAAGGCATTTTTAGATCTCAAAATGTCCAGGTTGCGAGGTATTAGTGCAGTAGAGTCGCTGAAGGTCTTGGTTACAGAATGTCGACATTTGCATATCGAATAATTGTTTATTAATGTAATTTTTGGTTTTCTTCAAGTTGTACAGTTAACTAAATGGTAGCCTTATGCTACTGCTTTTTTAATTGCTTTCAAATGTGTTAATTTTAATTTGTTAATTTTTTTTTTTGCTTCTCCTTTACGGACTTGTAGAAGAACAACTGTTGTCGAAACAAGTTTTCCATGCTAATTATTATTATCAAAATTATTCGAAGTGGAGCGATGAGCAAATCGAGTGTTTAAGGAATTTAATAGAGAAAGTGTGCGTATATTCATAGAGGAATAAACTAAATTATTATAATAACCATCATTTAATTCTACAGCATGTAACTATTTTCCCTCGGAAACTTTCTTGAACTTCCGCCGAAAATCAAATCGCATTTCTATAGTAAATATAAATAATATAGGCCTACCCTACAACTACTAAAAATTACTGAATGTGCCACCACCCCACACTTCCCCTAAAAGGAGAAATTAAAACGTTTAAATTTTTGCTTAGGTGTATAATTTTTTTTTAAAGTTTTCCTTTTTTTGCCAGGCATACATCGTTGTATTTCTATCAGTTGACTCAACACATTAGATATATCCGATTAAGTAGAGTATTGTCAACAGCAATCACATATTTTGTTCGCAACGGGGTGTCAGTATGAAACAAATTCTGAGCACTTTTGAGACAGTGTCTCTGGGGCGGATGCAGAG